ACTTTCAGTTAGAGAAAACTGTCGGGCACTTGGTGCTATTTTAATGGATATTATCAATACCAATATTACTAATAATACCAATTACAATATCAGCAAGTGTCCGACTATTCTCTCTAACTGAGAGTTTCAGGGCGTTCTCTGTACTTAATCTATTTAATACATTTTGCAGACTGAATTAGTCACGTCATTGTAGTTTTTTTATCATATTTTTCGTCCTCTGATTCGTTATGGTTAAAGACGATAACAGAAGAGAGAATTTTCCTAATCTTCAAGTGGTTTGCTGCAGGTATTTTGGAGGCTAGCAAAAACTGGCCATCGCGTTCTTTCACGTAGCTTGAATTGTCTGAAACCTTTGGCTCCATAGAGCTATCTTGATAGGAGAGAACAGAGTATTCACAAAAAGAGAAATATGGTAAACAAGATACAGAACGAGGCAAGGCCAGCACTGAGCATCCATGTAGGCATATTAAGTATCGCCGGCTAGTGAACTGCTAAGGCCACACTCGGATAGAATTCTGAGAGAAAACGCCACGTAATACTATCCGAGGATCCTCCTCCTCTCTTCCTCTACCACCAATCTCTTGGGAGGATGTCGGCTTATCGTGTATATCTGAGTGCCTCCTTGTTACAGACAAACTATACGCTTACAAACATCCATGCTTTCTCCGAGATTCGAACCTAGGTAAAGCAGTCAGCGTCACTAACCCCTATACCGTCTGGGACGCGGTAAATACGGGTTAAAGAAAGGCCGACAACTGTACATCCATCCAAGTAGGCATTAGGTACCGCCGAGCCTTGCTAACTGCTACCTCTGGAAGGGATTCCGAGAGAAAACATCCTGGACTGCGGTCCGAAGGTCTTCTAAGTCTTTCCCTTACTACCAACTTCTCGAGAGAATTTCAGCTCCCTGTGTATTTTCAGGTCTTTGCCGCACAGATTCTATACGCTTACAAACATACATGTCTCTCTCTTCTACACGGCAGTCAGAGGAGACCTTTGCTACTAAGCACTATCCCGTTTGGGCAGCAGGTAAATAAGGTAGTAGTTACATGACGAAGCTATGTTTCTGACTAAAGAAAACAAAACTGCTTTGCTTAAAGACCCTTTACTCAAAATGCAACATTGCTCCCAATGACCGAAAGGTAGTTGAATTTCTTTTGCAGTACAACACAGACTGCTCTGACTAAAACGATAACTCTTCAAACATTTTTGTCGCAGAGAGTATATGCCGCGCTGAACGCTACAATGGTTACTGCTTCTATTTGCTGTAACGTCAAGCTTGAGTTTGAATCTTGAAAAAGGCTTGGATGTTTGTAAGTGCATAGTGCATAGTAGTGTCTGCGCGGCAGAGGGCCACTCAAAATATACGAAGAGCTGAAAATCCTCTCGAGTGGTTTGGTGACAGAAGAAAAAGGGTGGGAGATCCTTAAACCGTTAGTTTTATGTGGCCACAGACCCCGAGGAATACGTTCCTGGGCCGAAGCCCTATTCCTGAATAACAAAAATATGAACGTGACAAAATATAAACACAATGTTATGTAGACTACATAACGTTAAATTCGTGAAATAGAGGCTTCAAATATAGGTCATTCGCGGAGCAGGAGATAAAAGTAGTCAATGGGTTTCGATCTTTCGATCCATAGCCATACGAATTTGAAAGGATAGCCGCGAAATAAAATAGGCTTAGAGGCAATCAGTGGTACAAAAAGGAATTAAGAACTAAATTAAGATTTGTGGTTTCACAATCTTAAAATAGTCCAAGGGCTTTTACTAATACCAAATTCTATGTTACCTTTCGTGGGTTAACACAGTCTATAGATTAATCTGATTTAATTCGTTGATTTCCTCCGTCATGAGGAAAAGTTGGATTTAGTTCCCATATTATTACTATTCTGCATTGCGGGTACTTTGCTTTTAAAAATCTGGGTGACTTTTTGAGGTCTGGATCAAACGCTTTTTGATATTCTGATAACAATTTCATTAACGCAAATAAATCAGCAAAACTACTGGCATTTACACTAATTTTTAATTTGCACTACTGCGTAAATTATTATGGACTGCCACAGACACGGCATGGCTGCTGTTACTATTCACAGCAGCAAGTTCAGTAACCCTACTTGTATTTTGCTGGTATCTAACCGAATTTATAACCTGAACATAATTGACACCAGCCAAGATAGTGGATGATTTTGAGTTTTTTCCTCACTGTTTGGCATCTCACAAGCTCGACATGAGGTCGGATATCCTCATATGCCACAGTTGGAACATTTATACCTCTAAGACGTCCTTTTTTGTCATATTCTGTGCTTCTGTCGAATCCGAAAGGAGGAACATGACAATTCTTGAAACATTCGGATCGTTTCCCTTAGAGATCTCTCTCAAAACTAAACCGGAGCTTAACAGCTAGCGCAGCAGGACTACACCTGTATGACCAATATGTGAAATTCTGGTGTACTGCCCTATTTGTAGCTGTTGAGAGCAAGCTAACGTCCTCTAACAACTAAATTTCTGCACACTTTAGTGAAAACCTGCAGCCTTCTTTCTATCTTTAAACGCTAGATTCATCCAATCTTTTAACATAGGAAATCTAGTAAGTGGTTTCAAAGTATAACCGAGTATCTTTTAAGACAACTTTATTGGCTTTACTCACAGCGAGTACTTTACAATCTTCTTTGAATCACAAGATAATAAACACATTTTGTTTAATCAGTTTGCAAAAAATAAGCTTCTATTCTATTTCTTCATTAAAGCAGTGCTTCGAGGGTTAACCGATGATGTCATAGCTAAAGCTAATGCAGAACTTTTTTATGAAGACTTTATTTCTACAAAAGCATTCAACTCAAGCTGTTTGAATAGTTAAATGATAATGAAGTTAAATTTGAACTTGGAATTGGATGGTTAAATTTGATTTGAAGCTATAGATTTGATAAGTCTACAGCTTTTCTTTAGTTTTATCAGGCATACAACGTTCTAAATAAAATTCAACACTTAATGCGATGGCTGTGCTGTAAAATTAACTGAAAAATACGGGAACTCAAACACCTCTCAAAAACTTAAAAATGGAGAGCGGTTGAGCTGTTTGAACAGTTAAATGATAATGGAGTTAAATTTGAACTTGGGCTCTGTTTGATAAACTTACACCTTTACTGTAGTTTCATTAGGCATATGACCTTCTAAATAGAAATTCAACAAACACTTCATGCTATGGGTGTTAAGCATCCAGTCGATGTGTTCCATCATCGTACTAATGAGTGATGATTCATTTGTTCAACAAGTCATGTAAACTAGTTTCAAACTAGGGGTCTAAGATTTGGTAAATGGAGTCTAGGTTTGAATAAATCTGGTTCTTATCTGAATGACAGAAAAATTTCTTTTACAGATACAGTTTGTGACAGAAGCATATTTGCTTGGCAGCTCTTTTTCTACCAGTTCATATTCTTCGTACACAACTGAAATTCAGGAGGGTTATTCTACTTCAGAGAAAGTCTGATGGAACAAGCATAATATAACTCCTAAAATTTATTCTGGTTTCTGTAATAAACTGTTCACAATGAAATTAAATTTTATTTTTTAATTTGTTCATGAGCTCCTAAAAGTGAACCACAGTTTAAGAATAATGATGAACTGATGAGGCAAACCGTGAAATCTAAGAAGTTCCTTTCACGTGAATGCTCCCCTCACGTGCAGCTTCTTTCATGAAGACAGTTACAATCTGTCCATCAGCATTCTACCCCAGACAACAATGGAAATTCAATATTAGCATCCTCTCCGATATGGTGATGCAACTTGGTTTAAGTACAATTACTGACATTGATTTCTTCTGTGAGTGAATGATAAATGAAAGCACAACATTGGTATGTATACTCTTAATAAAAAGTGTCACAACCAGTGAATATTCTGAAATGTGACCATGTATGCCAAAATCCACTGCTATAATTACAACACAATAACACGCCGAATAAATACTAATTCAGAAGTCGAACAACAAAAATCAGCGTTATATTTACAATATTTTCACAGGACTAGTTTCGATGGTTTTACCGAACCACCATCCTCAGTTGCAAAACTGCAAATGAAAAATCATTTTTCATCAGCTGAGGATGGTGGTTCGGTAAAACCATCGAAACTAGTCCTGTGAAAATATTGTAAATATAATGCTGATTTTTGTTGTTTGACTTCTGAATTAGTATCCACTGCTATGTTATTAGTTGTGGCATAGTGAAAAAACAAACTGTCATGTCATTCATGACAAATAAACTCATTCTATCGTGGATTGTGATCTCCCATACCTCTATCGTCATGAGCTTGTGCCTCAACATACATTAAGCAGTCACATTCTCTGAATCAGGTCTAAATATGATGCACTGCTTCCCTGTAGAATCAACCAGCAATACATAAGTTGATAATTCTATCCCTCTCAATTTCTATCAACTATCGTTTATTACTATCTACAGCTACTGACGAATAATCCATATAATCTGAGAGAATATCGAAGCAACATTTTAAATCCTGATGAACTTTAATTCACTTCCATGATCTGCAACAACTAGATGAGAGAATTTTACCATAAACTGGATGAGTTATATAGAACAAGTTTTTTTTTTTTTAATTACAAGACGATTGAATCCCTTCTTGGTTCTGCATCATGTTTTTTTTTTCTTTTCCGAAAGAGGATTATACAGTTCATATAAATGAAGCAGAGTAAATTTGACAGAACTGAAGACAGATACTTTAAATTCAGTATTACGTAAAATTAAATTTTTGCGAAGTTTTTACTGTAATTCTACTGCTAATTGAATTTTATTATTAATACTTTAATTACCAAAATATTTCTATAACCACCTTAATGTATTCTTAGATTATTCACTTTAAATTATCCTTACCAATGTGAATTATGGTAATACCAGTATTTCATAAAAAACCTGAGGTATTGAGAATGATGAATTGTTAGAGATAATATTAGGTAATCAAATACTCAGTAGCGAAAACAGAAACATAAATACAGACATGGACAACTTTATTAGCAAAAATATCAAATAAGCATTCAAAAAATTTTCAAAACATTCTTTTTTTTTTCTCTCTTTCATTTGAATATGAAAATAAATGGCTTTCATTTTGATCGCAAAACAATACAACTGATTACTGCTCGAAATGAAGAAATATATTTGATGTCTCTCCCAAAACCTGATTCTTGAGAAGATAATTTAGTTAATAATTCATGTCAAATACATCAACATGATCCCCAGATTTAAATCTTGCTCTTTCTAGAACTCCAATCAACCTCTGAACAGTGTAATCACATGTAAGAAGCTGATTTTGAGACTGTGCCTCTATTTAGAAAAGAAAACAAAACTGTTAGAATAGAGAAAACAATATATTGTAAAAGAAAAGTACAGTTGAATCATTCATTATAATTACAATTATTATAACTACCGTTGAATCATACATTCATAGGGCCATTATCAGGAAATACCCACTAAATGGGAATACACTGTCATCTATTCTGAGGGTCTATGAAATCGAGAGAAGATTGTTATTGAAGAATATCTGCTAAAGTGGAATGTCCATTAATGAACACTGAAACCTCTGTCACATTGAAACCCATGGCTCTATATCATTTAGGTCATCTATATAAATGGTCACCTTAAACAAGATAACTATCAGTAACAGTTATTAATGATTTCTATTACAGATTTATCCTATTCAAGGCTCTTAAAATCTGTTAAAATGGAAATGTAGAATAAAAGTTTATAATAATGTTATATAGTACGTAATATAACTACAAACTAATCAAGAATATAAATAGTTAATAACATCATAAAAATAAAGTTTAGAAATAAATTTGTCTTACAATAATTTTCTTAAATACTGTAAGTGAATAATATTTTAAATGTGGATCCTTTTTGTTAAAAAAAAAAAAAGAATTAAAAAAAAGGGGGGGGGGCCCTATGAAAAACCTATTATCGTAAATTCTGTTAAGTTACTTCAAAAATACTCAATTTGATTACAAATACACTGGTGTGCAAAAATTAAGGACGAGACGGTTTTTTTCAATATAACTTTGTACAAAAGCTTTCCAAATCAACACATTTAATACAGTAAGATCCCCAATACGTAAGGACATGAGTAATGTAAGCAACACTTGTAAGGATCTTAAGTTTTACTAACGTTTATTTTATTTTAAATCTTTACTATCACTTCTTATTTTCTACTTCCGGCCAGAATTAAAAGCTTTAACTTATTTATGCAAATTTGTCTGGCGAACGCCAAGTACTTAAGTTGTGGCTTTTTGCCAAGTGAGAGAGAGGAAGGAGTTAGTAGAAGCAGGCCGCTTGCCTTAGCAGTTTTTACTCGGTTGCTGGTTGCCTTCCAGGCCAGAGGTTTAATCCTCTTAATAATTTTAAATGTATCATAGTGTTAACAGTTCTCTGTACTACATACGGCTTCCTGTTAATATACGGCCAATCTTCTCGGAGGCCCTTGTTTATTATTTGAAAGCTAAGTTAGAGTTTAGTTAATATTTTTATATTCTTACGTTTAGACCACAAGTGGTTGGTCTCTGTATTCCGAAGTCCGGAAATCATTGTAAAGAGAGAAAAATAAAGGGTTTTTCGTATACCCTTCCTGTGTATCTTGTCTACTTACCACAATTTATTGAACATAGCTTTCAGTAAGCTCCCTGTTCCGAGTCAGGTCTTTGCATGTTCCCAAAGAAAGTAAGGAGAAACACTGAACCTGATAGTGGCGCCCAACAAAGAAGAATAACCATGGCCGATTTTCAAAAACAACCTGTGCTGCCTGCAGAGAAGCGGCTCAGAATCACGAAATGCCAGCTGCCGCCCTGGAAGCATTTGGTTACATCGTCCAGACCATGCGCGCAGCGATGAAACCAGAAGCAACATTTAATGGAAACTCACCGGTAACCAGTTTTTTGGAAAAACTAGATGACCACTTCATGATGTACCCCGTGCACGAGTTCCAAAAAGTTCACCTTAGCTACCAGCGCTTTGAGGGGCCAAGCGCTTAATTGGTTCAATGTATAGGCAGAAGTCTCTTGGGTCAAGCAGGAAGTCCCACCTATACTTACGAAAATTTCAAGACTGCCTTAGTAAAAGCCTTCCCTGTTGTAAGGGATCGTGCGAAATTAGAAGCGGAACTTTTTCAGCATTATACCAGAAACCAATTGAAAATCTCTCAAGCTTTATTTTAAGAAAAATTCACGTCTTCAAACTCTTGTATGGAAACCGTCCGGATCCTGAGATAATTCAAGTGATTTTGCCGAGGTTACTTCCCCAAGTGCAAGACTTTATTGAATTAAGGAATCCGACTACACTGGAAAAGTTATTTGAGCTAGCAATCCAGTTTGAAAGTAGAAGAACGGCGGACATTGAAAGAAGACGCCAATATCAACAACGAAACCAATTTGGTGAGCCAAGACACAGCAAAGTCAAGCACACGGCTACGGAAGCAAAGCGAATCAGTGGGCAAGGAAACCCGAGCATCCAAAAAGAGCCGGCGAACGTCGACAGTTCAATAGCAATCCAGGGAAAAAGTCTCAAGGCCAGTGGAAAAAGAAGGAAAGCATGGAAAGAAATAAAGACTTAAACTAAAACGGATTTTGCTGACGGGAGGGTGCGGAAATCCGAAGGCCAAGAAAACCCCTCTTCCTTCAAGTTAAATACAGTAATGGTGAAAAATTTGACTCTTCCGAAGATTGAAGTGTTGGTGAATAATATCCCAGCCACCGCACTCCTGGATACAGGCGCGCAGTGTTCCTGTGTGGCAGAAGATTTTTTAGGAAGTATTTCCATAAATATCGCATATATAATTCAGATAATACGACAGTGTTAGCTGCGCAAGGAGAAAAGATGTAAGTGCCATAGGTAAATTACCGCTTATACATTCGTATAAAGGACGAACAAGTAAAGGTTATGTTTTTTATAGTAAAGAATCTGCAAGCACATATTATCTTAGGAATAGATTTTCTTTCAGAGGCACAAGCAGCAACGCTGGATTTTAATGAAGCATCCCTTAAGCTGACGATGAAACCAGTTCGAGAAGAAAAAACGGAACTGCCAATGTTAAACCTTGACCACCTGCCTAAGGAAGAGTAACAAAGAATCCGACAAGTGGTAAGTGAATTTGCTTCGTTATTTAGTGATATTCCAGGATTTACTCAAGTTACTAACCATAGTATTCGACACCGGAGATTCAATGCCAGTTCGCCACAAAGCATACTGGTATGATAAGAATTAAGAAAAAATTATAGAATGGCACATTAGAGATATGTTACGGAAAAAGATCATAACGCCCATCTCAAGTAGTTATGCTAGCCCGGTGGTTTTATGTAAGAAAAACAATGACTATCCATTAACACATCCAAAAAGGTGGCGTTTCGCGATTGACAATCGTAAATTAAACTCCATAACTAAATATCCGGTATATCCGTACCTATTATTGAAGAAATTCTAAGGAACATAACGTCTACCAAATATATGACGACTTTAGACTTAACGACTTTTATTTTCAAATAGGGGTTAGGACCGGAGGACGTGCCTAAGACTGCTTTATAACCAAGTCTGGCACTTATGCATTCCTGCGTATGCCGTTTGGCCTTTCAGGGGCCCGGCAACATTTCAGCGATGTATGGACATTGTGCTAAGGCCTGTTCTTGGAAAGTCCACATTTATCTATTTAGACGATATCATTATTACTAGTGATAATCTCGACCAACATGTACAGGATTTAAGACAGGTGTTTTCATTATTAAATGAGGCCGGTCTAAAAGTTAATGTCGAAAAGTGCAAATTTGCAGCCCCTGAATTAAAATACTTAGGTTACAAAATATCTTAGAAAGGAATCGAGACAGACGAATCAAAAATAATCGCTGTACAAAGTATCCGCCGCCAAATACGGCGAAGAAGCTCTCTTCTTTTCTAGGACTTTGTTCATATTATAGGTCCTTTATAAAAGATTTTGCAGCTATCGCTGAGCCATTGTTAAAATTAAAAAGAAAAAGGCAAGATTCTCGTGGACGGCCGAAGCCAATAGTGCTTTCGAAAAATTAAAGCAAGCATTAACGCAAGCCCCTGTGTTGAAATTTCCTGAAAAGGATGAGAATTTAGAAATTTCAGCGGATGCTTCGGATTATGCGGTAGGAGCGGTACTTTCGCAAAATCAGCAGCCCGTGGCATTTTTTAGTCCGAACTTTAAATCAATCACAAAGAAATTATTCCCGCGACCGAGAGAGAGGCACTTGCAGTTCTGTTAGCAGTGCAAAAGTTCCGAGTCTATTTTGGAAAGGCGCCAATAACAGTGTACTCTGATCATGCGGCGGTAACTAGATTGTACTCAGGGAAAAACTTATCCCCAAGGTTAATAATGGGCACTCAATAAGAATATAATCTGGTAATCAAGCATACCTCCGGAAAGGAAAATATCGTAGCAGATGCCCTATCCAGAATTAAAATAGATGAAGAAGGTAATACTGTAAAGGTGCCAATGCTCACAGCATGTACAATAAATTCCCGAGAAATTGTAATAACCGAACTGGGTAAGGATCCTGAGTTTGGAAACATTTATGAGTATTTAAAGGATCCTGAAAATTTTAGCCACCAAGATATTGTGGCGATAAGAAACAAGGCGGCCCATTACGAACTAATAGATGGTCTATTATTCTATACAAAAACTACGAATTCCAACAACGAATTTCGACCTGTTATCCCAGCTAGTCTTAGATTAAATATCCTGCAGGAGTTACACGACAGCTCATTAGCTTCTCATGCTGGTATTCAAAAAAACTATCCAACGCGTACGCGAGGCAGTCTATTTCCTGAACTGCAAAAGTTAACAAGGGCGTATGTCCAGTCCTGCCCAACATGTCAAGCAGTTAATTATATTAATTTCCGCCCGGCCGGGTTTTCAAATAGTATTAAATCCGAATTTCCAAATGAAATAATTCGGCATCGATTTATTGGGCCCTTTCCCAAAAAGTCAGTTAAATAAAAGTCGCTATCTCTTGTTATGGTTGATCATTTTAGTAAGTGGACCGAAATTGTTCCCTTAAAACGAGCCTCCGCGAAATTAGTTACTGATTCTATTTTAAATAAATATATTTTAAAATACAGGGCGCGCCCCTAAAAGTTATATCGGATAATGGTCCTCAATTTGTAAGTAATATATTTGAAGACGTGCCAAAAAACTGGGCATACGTCATTTAAAAATGGTCCCGTATCGGCCGCAATCAAATATAGCGGAACGGGTCAATAGAAATATAGTGAAAATTATCCGTAGTAGTTATGTTAAAAATTTTCATAAAAGCTGGGATAAC